ATCACTGAATTTTGAAAAATATTGTACATAATTCACTGTAAACTCGATATTTTTCAAAATTCAATAGTTATGCTAATAAGTAGCGTACATCATATTCCAAAGTTCAGTGGTCGAAACTCGACATTTTAAACTTCAGTGAACAATCGAAGACATTGACCTAAGTTCAGTAATCAAAACTCGATATTTTTCAATGTTCAGTGGCTAAAACTCGACATTTTTCAAAGTTCAATGATCAAAACTCGATATTTTAAAGTTTAGTGGTCAATCAAAGATATTAACTTAAGTTCAGTGACCATTGAAACAATTAACTCATTATTTATCTATCAAAATAATGGAGAAATAAAACAACATTATTGTAATCAGATCATGTCTGCAAAATTTTCAAATTATGCTGTTAATACAAAAATATATTATTAATAAGAACAATTAATTAATAATAAAAGATTTCTTCTTAAGTAGTGGAGAGTGGAGAGTGGAGAGGGAGCTGGAGATAAAGCACACGGATGGAACGTCAACTATACACTGTCCTCCGCCACCATTTTCACTGTTCCTTCCATTAGCTATCTCTTTAGCTTTAAATCCAAACATGTTTCCAGCTGTTTAGCTCAAGCTCTGATTATAAATTTTTGTTTTTGTTTTTCCTTTCCTTGTCTTAAAGAGTAAAAGAGAAGGGAGAAATATAGAGGTGTGAGATGGGGTGCACGGTATCGAAGCTAGACAACGAGGACACTGTGCGGCGGTGCAAGGAGCGGCGCCGCCTGATGAAGGAAGCGGTGTACGCCCGGCACCACCTGGCCTCTGCCCACTCTGATTACTGCCGCTCCCTCCGCAATACGGGCTCGGCCCTCGTTACGTTTGCTTCCGGTGAACCTATCTCCGTCTCTGACCATACTCCGGCGGTCCTCCTCCGCAATTCATCCTCCATCTCCAACACCACCGCAGCCAACACTTCCAAACCCACTTTCATCCCCCCTCCTCGTCACATTCCCTCCCCTTCCCCATCTTTCCACCCCCCTCCACCGCCACCACCCTTGTCTACCACCTCTACCCACCGCTCCCACCACCAGCAGCAGCCAACGCGCCTCAAAAAATCAATGAAACTCCCACATATTCTGTCAGACTCCAGCTTCTCATCCTCCCCACCACCAACATCCCATAATTTCGACGGAAATTTTACTTATGACGCAAGAGCAAATTCGACTTACTCCAACACCCCCTCCCAGGCCTCCTCCGTATGGAATTGGGAGAACTTCTATCCTCCCTCCCCTCCAGATTCCGAATACTTCCAGAACCTCCACACCAACAAGAATACATCCCGAATTATTCAGGAAGAAAGCCATTATGGTGGTGATGATGATGACGATGACAAAGAATCCAGCTTATCATCGTTTTCTAATACTCACGATCAGATCAATAACTATCAAAATCCTAGCAGCAACAGCAAGAAGCAATTCGACGACAAGGCGTCCAATTATTCATCGTATTCCCGGTATTCAGATAGTGGGAACAGTTATGTAAGAAATCATCCTAAACAAGGTCCTGTCCCAGTTCAAAAGAAAGGTCACCGTGTTAAAAACTGGGAAAGCGAAGAAGAGGAGACCGAGAGAGAAGAAGTCCAGTGCAGTGAATGGGGGGACCATGACCATCATATTAATACAACGAGCTCCTCTGATGAGGATGAAGCGGAAGATCTCAGGTCCAGATCTGATTTTGGGTCTCAATGGAATTACGGGTCGGTGAAAAATGAGCCTGCTGCCGCTGCTGCTGATGTGGGGAATTTGAATGCGAATTTGAATTCCAAGCCATCTAGTAAATCCGGGAAGCTTTCCTCGGATGATAACAAGTCATCGGTTGGTTGGGGAAATAGGAACGATGAAGGGATGAATTCTGATAGGAGGATTGTGGTGAGGCACAAGAATTTGGTTGAAATTGTGGCAGCACTCAAGGAGTATTTTGATAAGGCTGCTTCTGCCGGTGAGCAGGTATCTGAGATGCTGGAAATCGGACGAGCTCAGCTCGATCGAAGCTTTAAGCAGTTGAAAAGTAAGTATGATCCTGGTTTTTGGACTAAAATTGTTCTATTTTTTGTGTTTCAGATTTAGCTATTATGTTCGCGAGTGACCATTTTCCGTTTTTCATACTCTGAGTTTTGCTTATTTTCTGTTAAAAATATGATCTTTAAATTGTAATGCATCAAGATATTACTAAATTGTTGCGTCTTTCAAAATTATCGGGTTTCGTATTTATTTTTATTTGGTGTTGCAGAAACACTCTATCACTCAAGTGGAATGTTGAGTAACTTGAGCTCAACCTGGACTTCAAAACCTCCATTGGCTGTTAAGTACCGGCTCGAGCCGAGTTCGCTTGATCAGCCAGGAGGTCCGAAGAGCCTTTTTTCAACTTTGGAACGGCTTTTGGCGTGGGAAAAGAAACTATATGAAGAAGTGAAGGTACTGGTCTGAACCTCGATTTTCATTACTTGAATTAGTTGTCAATCTGATCTTGTGTTATTTTCTGAAATCAAGTTTGATTTTCCTCCATGTAAATGTATGCTGACGTGTCATAGATGCCATAGTTGACTATGGCACAAAGAAGTCTATTTGTTGCCTTGTATTTTGTATTGAAACGAAATCGTGGCTTTTCTGGAATTAGCACTTGTGCTATTGCGGGTGGTGGCGGTTTTAAATTGGACGGTTTAAGCTTATCCACGAATGTTTGTCAAAGCTCCTTTCTTGTGTTATCTTGTTTGTTGGATTTCCTTTATACATGGAATGACTAATTTGCCCTGAGTACCTGGTTGTTTGGTCTGAGAAAGACAGCCTGGAATTACTTTAGGATGTTTGGTAAGATGCTGAAGGTTCTACCTCCCCAACTAACTTGTCTTTAGTACTGGTGGCAAAAATATGAAGGAATTCTTTTATGTTTAATAGTTGTTAATATTGTTGCAGTTGTTCAAGACTTCTAAAAGTCCTAGAAGTATGACTGTCAATAAAAGGAATCTAGTTAATCAAGATGAATGGATGCTTTGTTAACTTCTTAGTTCATGCTGCTTCATTT